ACAAAGTAAATAAACAAAGTGTACGAACATAGTCGCATACATAGGAAGAAATCATCAAACCAAATACATGTCTTAATATTAAGTAGTTTTACAAATCATAAATAAAATAAACATAAGTACTAATAGTTTCATTCTTCACCATCAAGTACATCATCAAAAGTCATACTTTCCATCTCGGGTTCATCAAGTGAAAGCTCGGCCATCTCTAGAATACCTAATGTTATTCCAAGGAATATTACAAAACCTACTGTTATCCTCAGACCTCAGGCATCAAACTTCAATTAAGGAAATACCACATACATAAAAGATTCATGGATCTAATTATGATCAAAATTCAGAAAAGAGGAGTGCATTTTCTGTTACAATTTTCATAATCGACATAGGGGAGAATGAGATCCCAAAGCCCAAACACATCACAAATTTCTACAGCAAAGGGGTTCACCACCCTCGAAAAGAATATTGAACCACAAAACCATGATACAAAATTGCCAATTTAAGCAAAATCGTGAAGGAATGAAATCAAATTAAAACGAGAATGAGAGATTGTGAGGATTACCTGAGAAGGCTGATAGCACCGGCGGCCGACGAGCTAGAGTGGACGGTGGACTGACGGCTGAGAGCACTGACAGCGAGTCGGCGAAGGATTGAAGGAATAGAGTATTAAAGTGCGTGGGTTTCGTGATGACTAAGGTTGCGACGAGTGACGCACTGACGCTGTGACGGTGGATGGTGGGCGACAGTCAGGCGATGTCAGTCGGCGGCGATTTGGGTTGAGCCGTTGAGGTGTGTTTGAGAGTGACGAGAAATAGAGAAGATTGAAAGCAGTAGGGTTTGAGAGTTGAGACAATGAAACTTTGAGGGATTTGGGCTGGAATAGCAAAATGGCGTGTCCAAGTTAAAACGGGTCGTGTCAAATGGAGACACGGTCCGTGTCCATGGAGTATTTTTTTAAGAAAAATTCGGGACACGGATTTTGAAGTGTCGGACACGTGTCGCCCCGTGTCCTACCCGTGTCGGTGTCGGACACGCGTGTCGACTCGGATACCTCTGCTATGTGGCGTGTCCGTGCTTCACAGATTAGGAATAAAGCAGACTAAAATAGAACACAGGCACATCTAGTCTACAAGTAAAATGGCTAGCCAACAATAGTAGTGACATGAAAATAGTATAAAGATCAGTCAATTAAACAACCACCCTAAAATAGGTCAATTTGGGCGAGCAAATTACCGCCCAAACATCAATATACCAAAAATACAAATCTCATTAGAAAACCCGATGCATTAACCCAATTGTAAAAAGCTAATCATTATTGTAGTCTAGTAGAGCTATAGACCTGTAGTTGGCTAGTTGCTAAATCAATCACCTTCAACAATTCCACAACAACCATTGAATAGACGAATTCGAGTAAGCATATTACCACTCAAACATCAATTTATCAAAAGATGAAGCTCATAAGCAAACCTATTGCATCAATTAAAACTAACCTAAAAAAAATCGAATTTCCACAAAGCACGACTGTACGAGCCACGGACAGAGGGACTGACGCCTCACGCTTGACGGAGGAACCTTATACCAGCAACGGCGAGAACACGGACTGACGCAGCACGAAAAATCGGCCGGTGAACGGCGACAGGGCTGCTGCGGCTGGGGTCTGGGGATATCGATTTAGGCGAGTTTGAGACTTAGGGTTTTATAATTTGGGGGAAATGTTCTGAGTTTCTGACTTCAATGTTTTAATTTCTAAATCTTGAAATTGGAAGTGAGGTTGTAAAGCAAAAAAAGAAAAAATTTATGAGTAATAGGATTTGAACCCACATCTCGTGTATGGTGGGGTGTTAAAAAACCACTGGGCTGCAAGCTAAACTTCATGACATGTAGTTTTTTTTTATAATGGGATTTGAAGATAGGTTTCTTGTCACTCAGACGATTCGCCACTAGACGAAAAAGGTAATTTGGCACCGGTTCAAACCCCCCTAAAGCACCGGTTTTGAACCGTTGGGGATTTGAGGGATGCCAAATTCCTAAAAATTTGGCACCGGTTCAAAACCGGTGCCAACTAAAGGCATTAGCACCGGTTAACTGGTGCAAACTACAGGCTTTGGCACCGGTTAACCGGTGCCAACTTCAATGGCGCGAATTTTTTTTTTTAATTATCAACACTATTGGCACCGGTTTTAAGCAAGAACCGATGCCTCTAACTGGGTTTATATTTTTTTTTCGGCAATATAATATAATTATATTAATTATAACATTAGGATATTATATTAATAACAATAATAATTATTATTATTATATTAATAATAATTATTACTATTATAATAATATTAATAATAATAATAATTATTATAATAATATTAATAATAATAATTATTATTATAATAATATTAATAATAATAATTGAAATAATAGCAATACATAAAAATTGATAACAATCCCAAAATATAATACTAATTAGAAAAAAGTGTCATAATTACAAACAATATTAATCAATAATGTGGTACACAAGTTCAAACTGAAATGAAATTTACAAATGAAATGTGATGAAGGACGCCAACATATCTCGAACTTCATGAAGTTCTTCGCTCGTGAACGGACGTTCCGTTTGTCACTTGCAAAACTTGGAATAAACAAAACGTAAATTAGGAGTGAATTACTTATTAGGTTATATATGCATGTAAAAATACATTTACAATTAAGGCCTATTTGACTACTATGATGCCTATTTCCCACGTTTCTTGTCTAGTGAACTCATACTAACACATAACATGTCATTATCACTTATTTATAGGTGGCTAAGGGTTGAAATTACAAGAAAAGAGCAATATAGGGGTTTTAGAACGAATTTTCATCCAAAATGACCCAAGTAAGGCCTATTTGACTACTATGATGCCTATTACAAGATATAGTCAATGGCATACCTCTTCAAGTTGTTGTGTGTCTGTACAGTGATTCACTATGTCAAACATGAATCTCATTACATATAGGCCACAATCAACTCCGTTATCTTGTTGTGCGCACTAGCATAAGGATCAAAGTACATGAATCAAACATGCATAGCAAATTAGCAACATCTTACGCATTGTTTAATTATTACGAAAATCAGAATATCATGTGGCATTACCTTCGGTGATTTCCATGTAGGACCTCGAGGAGATCTACAATTTATCTTCTTCATAACACTGTATAGAAAAGTAAGTTCAAATTTGATTAGTATGATTAATAAATGAGTTAGGTTATGATAATCAAAAACAAGAATTGAAGCTATATTTACTTTTGCAGTATGGACTTCACGAGGAGCTTTCTTGGTTGAGGTGAGCGAACAGAATCAAAAAGGAAGATTATGTTACTGGAAACACAAATCACCAGCAGGGTCCGATGTAAACTACATACATACATTCACAAGAGACAAACAAATCAATAATTAGCAATGTACAACATATAAACTGGGGAAACAAATGAATTTGACATAATCAGACGTACTCCTCATAATATGGGGCGAATATACACTTGTCTCTCGCACGCACTGATTCCTTGATACCCCGTTCAACATAGTACAACACGTCAGCGTGGTTGCCTAAGATTCTAGCAGTGGAGATCTGCTCAGGGCATAACCACCCAATTTGACACGGGGAATCTATCTCCCATAAGTGCTCCTGGATTGCTCTGCATGCATGATAATAGAATGTTAATGGAAAACTTCACGACAATCACCACTAAACTGAATAACAAATTGAGTGTAGTTGAATTACTTGATGCATATTTGAATGAGGGAAATGTTAAGCATTGCACCACTTAGAAATTCCGTCACATCTTCTTTGAATAGCCATGCCATTGTATCCTCATCATAGTGGAACATTTCCTTAGGTAGTGGAACTTCAATGGGGCTGTCACTAGGCAACACGCAAACACGGTTGTGCAGATAAGTTAACTCTTTAGAGATCGATTGAAGCACCGTGTCTTCAACTAGTGGAGTAGCTTGCATAGCTGAACCTCGCGGAGAGCTCTTATTCGATGCTTTTCCACTCACCGAGCCATGTTCACTCCTCTTCTTTGGCATCGGTTGATCAATGCTTTTTGGCCCTCCACCCTCTTCTTTGGAGTTTGGCTTTTCCTCGATGGCTAATATGACAAATCACACAAATGGTTAGAAAAGAATTTCATCCAACTCTTGGGATGAAAATCGGGTATAGAGTAAAGCGTGAACTTTAAATCTTAATTACCTGGTTCATCAACCGTATCCAAGCACATGGTCATTGCACAAAACTACCTTTTGCTGCCCAAAGTGTAGTAAACTCATCCTCCTCTACGGGCACAGGTATTAGGATGTCCTCGAACCCGGCAACCACAGAATTGATCCCGACCGAATAATGTTGTGGCCTAAGCGGTCGCAAATGGACCGTACCTTGTTCGGCCGGTTGTGCACTACCATATGCAATCACATTCAAAGCACCACTATGTGATTTGCCCGGGTGAAGAAGTTCACAACGGGTCTCTTCCTACACGAAAAAAAAGTAAAAAAAAAAGTAAAGAAAAAAAAATAAAAACCAAAACAACATACTAGAACAAAAAACAGCAACAGCGACAAACTGCAATGTTGATGCTGTTGCGGATCTGCTGACTGCAATGCTGATCTGCTCAGCTGTCTGCTGTCCTACTGAATGCACTGCTGTTTTGCTGACTGCACTGCTGTTCTACTGACTGCACTGCTGTTCTGTTGACTGCACTGCTGCTCAGCTGTTCTGATGTGCCTGCTGCTAGGGGTGTACACCGGTCCAAAACTGGACCAGACCTGGACCGGACCTGATTTAACAGGTCTGGTTCCGGGCTAGACCTGAAAAATCAGGTCCGGTCCGGGCTTGGACCTGGATGGACCTGTTTTGTTATTTTTTCGTTTTTTTAATAAATAACCTGTTGGACCTGCATATGGACCTGTTTTGTGATTTTTAGACCTGTTGCATAATTTAATAATTACATACAAACCAAAATTATCATCACAAAACTACATAACGTCTATAAATTCCCAATTCCCAAACACCAAAAATACAAATGAGTCCACCGAAAATACAAATGAATCCACGAAAACTCATAACATTACATTGCAAGAATAAGAATTCGTGGTTCCTTCACTCCCTTGTTAGCCCTGGGCAAGTCTGCAAGAATAAGAACAAGAATAAGTAATTAACTAATGTCCACAAAACTCTCCAAGCCACGAAAACACCACCCAAAGCCATGAAAAACACCACCCTAAGCCATGTAAAACACCACCAGCCATGAAAACACCACCCCAAAACAGAAAAAATAGAAATTAAACAGAAAACACCACCCCGAAGTTCCGAATAACTCCACGGTCTCCACCCCCAAAATAAAAATAGAAAAAACAGAAGAAAAAAAATAAAAAAAAAATAATATGGTATTGCAATCTTGCCTTTTAATATTATGTTGTGGTTGAGAACATATAGACTAAAGAGATATATGGAAGTTAGAATAGTCCACCAACTTAAGTTTAAACCTACCATCTTTTATACTTCATATAAACAACAGTGACAGTGCAGAGTCGCCGAGTACACATCTTCCATACTACAGACTAGTATACATACATATAAATATATAATGGAGTATGCAAAGCTCTCTTGACCACAACACTATAGGAAACAAGCCAAATAATGGTTATTACTGATTATACTTGTTACAAGATACATAACCAGAGAAGGGAAGAACCAGAGAGGCAGAGACTAAGCATAAACCAAAATTTCTTAGCATCAGAGGCTGAATACAAATTCTTCAAGAAATTCTCAGCTAAAGCCTTTTCTGCATCACTACAGCATAATCAGACTATGTTGAATTTACATTTTTCAATAGTTTAGGTCATTAGGTGTTACAACAATAAGAAAAGAGCAATAGAGCGGATCATAATCCGATAATATATACGAAAAAGTAAACATCAAAACTTTTCATAAAGAAAAGTATCAAATTGAGGATTGGTGATAGAATGAGACATAGTTTAACATCATTAAATGTTAAATATTTGTACTTTAAATCGCAATCACAATACTTAAGGTTAAGTTTAACAAACCCAAATTAATCAAAAATCACAAAACCCAGAAATCCAGAATGAACAAAAATTCGACCAAAAAAATCGAAAAAAATAAAACCCACGTATATAAATTTGAACAAAAATTAAACCCACATAAATAAAATTGAATGAAATAAAAACCACATATATAAATTCGAAAAAAAATTAAATAAGAACATGAACACCAATACACCATAATTCGGACAAGAACAAAAGAATAAAGAATAAATTAAACATGCAAAAACTTACCGGAGATTCGCGCGGTGGCTATCTGGCTGAGTGGCTGATGTAGCAAGCCTTGGGCGCCTGGGCGGTGGGCGTCCCCTGAGAGAGTGAGGAAGGCAGGAGGTGTCGCCGAGACAGTGAGAGTGAGGGAGATTGGAGCCTTGGAGGCAAGCAGCGAGTTAGGGGAAGTTAGGGTTAGAAGTTAGAAAAGAAAATAAAAACTGAAGTCTTTTTGATTTTTTTTCCTTTAAAAATGCAATTTTTCTAGGTTTCAGGTCCGGACCTGAAACCCCCGGTTTTAGACCGGGTCCGGACCGGGACCGAACCTGAATCAACGGGTCCGGGTCAGGTCCGGTCCGGATCAGGTCGGTTCAGGTCCGGTCCAGTTTTTGTACACCTCTACCTGCTGCCCTGCTGCCCTACACAGCACTGCACAACAACATAGCAGCAACACAGCGCAGCACGGAAACAGCAATAGCAGCAACATAACAGCAATAGCAGCAACATAAATACAATAGCAGCAACCCAACAACAGCATAACAGCACCAAAACAGCAGCCAAAAAGCAACACAGAAGCAGCAGCACGGAAACAGCAACAATACAACAAAATAGCAGCAGAACGCATACTTTTAGCACGGTCGTGCCACTTCCCAGATCAAGCTACACGGCTGTGCCAAATCTAGCACGGCCGTGCCAAATCTAGCACGCCCGTGCTGAATCCCAGTGAAGCGCACTTAATTCTCTGCCATGCCTGCATGGTCGTGCCACTTCTAGCACGGCCGTGCTGATTTACGAAGGGCAGCCTGCGCAATTGCTTTCTAAATTAAAACATATATATATATAACCCTATTGTGAGGGTTAAGAAGAGACAGTTTTGGAGATAGATTAGAGACGTATTTTTCAGAGAGACTTTGTAGAGAGGTAGAGAGCACTTCCGTAGTTGAGATTCCATACATTTGATCTAGTTAATCGTAGTTTTCCAGATTGATTCGAAGCAAGATTCGTTGGGATTCTTTGTATTATTCATTGACATCGGATATCAAAGTTCCAAACTTTGTCATTGATTCGCATCAATACAATTGGTATTATTCATTCTTGTTTATTAATCAAGCTTTATTATTCCTTAATCAGAATTCATGTTTAGATCTATTATGCTTTTAGAATTCATTATTGCTTTGATTATGAATATGTGTGAGTAGTCTCCTAGCTAAGGTTTCGGGATGAAACCCGGCCTAGGTAATCTATGTAATTGAGGGTTGATTTTGATAAACTGATTGTGATTAAATTGATTATATGCGATTGCATGTTAATTCATTAGGATAGGAGTAGCTAACGTAGAGTCTTGAATTTGATTGCATGTTATTCTTGGTTTGAACAAGAGATTGTGAATTGAGTATTTCATTATTGAATGTGGTTTGATTATGTATCGAGTAATGTTAAGTGCATGAGAAATCCAAGCTTAGTATTGCCCGTTGTCTTCCTACCACATGATATTGATCAGACATATAGTCTTTGCATATCCCGTTTGTCTCTGTGATTCCTTGTTGCTTAGTTACCAATGGTTAGGCGGATTCCCGTTCTCCCTAGTGTCTTAGTTTATTGATTATTTCATCTTATTAGTAGTATTTTAGAACATCATCTTCCATTGATTTCGAACTAGCTTAGGTTTTAGGATTGATTAGCAGTTACTCCTGTTCTTCGTGGACCGAACCTTTATTTGCCATTATACTGGTTATAGGGTGTTTGTATAAGTATTGTTTGATTAAGAGTTAGATTGTAGCGACTGATTTAATGCTTGTCAGCAAGCAAAAAACTTGCCCTAGTATCATTCCAAAACGTGTCAATCAAGCCTGTAGGTACGTCGCTCATACGAAGCGTAATAGGGATTTTGCGCGCACAAATCCCAACTTGAATAGCATACTGACGACGCCATTTGCCTGTAGGTTGGCCTACCCTGTCATACTCCAAGACCATTGGACCGATAGGTTTCTTGAAACTTGTCGTCGGACCCCTAAACTTTTTCTTCGCTGGTGCCTCCATCCCCCCTCCACTTTGATTCTCATGAAATGTCTCAAAATTTGCATTATCGATAGGAGGCGCTTGTTCAGCTGAAATTTCAAACTCATATAGCACACGCTCCAATATATCTTGAGCCTAATCTTCTAGCTCACCCAAATCAGGTTCCTTGTTCACATCATACAGCTCGTCCCCATCCTTAGATGAATCATCATCATCATCCTCTACATCCTCAACTCCAATACGGTATTGATCGTCCGCCATGAGATGTTAAAACCTGTCATTATCAACATAACACGTTATTAGTTGCTGAATTGTAAGGTAAACTTATAATCATATATAAATTGCTGAATTATAATACAAATAAACATAGAAAATGGGGAAGTAAGTTACTTCATTCATTTAAAAGAAAATAAGAAAAATGGGCAAGTAAGTTAACAATTTCATTCATTTTCACCTAAAATGTGATTTAATAATACTTTCTACGCCTACAATTCAAACTAACAGAAAATAGTTACTCAATCTAATATTCCTTCATCGTGGTCTGATCGCATGTAATTGGCTTGGTCGTCTATCTCATTTGGTATAGCAGGTCTAGGAACAGTGAAAGGTGCCGAGTCATCAAACGCATCATATTCTTCCTCATCCTCGACATCTCCAACGCCAAGGATTCTTCTTTTGCCGGCTAGCACAATAGACCATTTTGAGTCGGCTGGGTCAGTTATGTAAAACACTTGCTTAGCTTGAGATGCAAGGATGAATGGTTCCGCACTATCATTCAGGTTGCCAAGATCCACAAGAGTAAAGTCATCATATTTGACGTTACGCCTGATATTATCAACCCACTTACACCGGAAAAGAGCAATTGTGAATTCACAATAATCAAGCTCCCATATTTCTTGAATTCGACCGTAGTATGACAACTCTGCATCAACGGGTGATTTATCCTTAGCACTTGCAAACTCCCTTGACGATGCCACAAGCGTTACACCACTGTTTTGGGTCGAGGATGATTTTAAATCCTGACGCTGAGTCCAAAATGTGTACCCATTTATGTCATATCCCTCAAATGAGCGAACATCATCCCTAGGACCATAAGCAAGCCACCTTACTGTATCTGTGACACTCTCATCCATTCCACCCATCACTCGATCACGGAACCAACTCACAAACTTCTTTTTATGCACCTGCATCAATGCCCTTTCACCTTTCGATGGAAATTCATCACGCAAACTAGCCATGTGCTCGTCTAAATATGGGTGAACATCTGCAACATGGTGTAACACATATATGTGTGCTTGTAAGAACTTATCTCGATCAGGTGACATTCGTTTCGACCCGATTGTGCCATGACCATCAAGTCTCTCTTCATGTCGAGAAGTAGGAATACCAATAGGTTCAGCAACGGCTATATAGTCGGCCATAAATTACCAATCTCCTCAGCCACTGTCCGTTGAATCATACTTCCTTCCGGGTGAGCCCGATTCCTGACTTTATCTTGCAATGTACCCATGTGTCTTTCAAAAGGATAGCACCACCTCATGAACACTAGACCGCACAACTTAATCTCACGCACCAAATGAAGAATCAAATGCACCATTATGTCGAAAAACGAGGGTGGGAAGTACATCTCAAATTTGCACAAAGTCACAACCACATCCACCTGTAAAGCATCAAGTGTACAAGGATCAAGCACTTTACTGCATATTGTATTGAAAAACAAACAAAGGCTTGTAATAGCTTCCTTCACGTGCTTTGGTAAAATACCACGTATTGCATCATAACATGACAATCATGGGATTCCATACTTGTCAGCTTCAATTCTCCATTTAAGGATACAAATCTTTTCATGTTAGATGCGTACCCTGATGGAACCTTAATGCCATACAGACATGCACAAAACATTCGTTTTTTTCTACCCTTGACAATGTGTAGCAAGCCGGAGGTTAATAAGCCTTGTCCTCCTTGGCTTTTCCCTCATATTTCTTCTTCGACGCATCCCTGGCCTTTCCCTTTCCCTTGCTCTTCCCCTTGCCATTTCATTTTCCTTTTCCTGTTCCTTTCCCTTACTAACCCTTTGCTGAACCCACAATTCTGGACGCAGCCCCATCATTTTCAAATCTAACCGTGCACCCTTTCCGTCCTTTGTCTTGCTTTGAATATTCATCAGCCCTCCCACAAGAGCATCACACACATTCTTCTCTATATGCATTACATCAAGACAGTGCCTAACGTCATGTTCTTTCCAGTATAGGAGCAACCAAAAGATTGATTCTTTTTTAAAGAGAGCAGTTGAGTCCGCCGCTTTTTCAGATTTCCCAAATACTGTTTGTACACCTTTAAATCGAGCATAAACCTCCTCACCAGTCAAAGGCCTAGGCGCAGTCCCCTCTTCCGCTATCTCATTGAAAGCCTTTTTCTGCCTACGGTACGGGTGATCGCGCCTGAGCAACCTTTTGGTCCGCAAGTACACCTCTTTGTGAGAATGATCAAGGCGTCTGCTTGGCGTATCATCAATAGAAATGGGGCATGCTTTTTTCCCTTTGTTCTTATACCCAGACAAGTTGCCATATGCAGGAAAATCATTAACGGTCCACATAAGAGCTGCACACAATGTGAACATCTCATTCTTATGAGCATCAAACACGGAAACCCCTTCGTCCCGCATCTTTCTCAAATCATCAACAAGTGGCGCAAGATAAACATCTATGTCGTTTCCAGGTTGCCTTAGCCCCGATATCAAAAGTGAAAGCATTACATATTTCCGTTTCATGCACAACCAAGGAGGCCAATTGTAGATCACTAAAAGTACCGGCCATGCGCTATGCTGGGTACTAAGAGTGCCAAATGGATTCATCCCGTCCGTGCACAAACCAAGCCTTAAATTTCTAAATTCATCACCAAATTCCCCAAACTTCATATCAATGTTCTTCCATTGTGGGGAGTCGGCTGGGTGCTTCAGCATTCTGTTTTTCTTTCTTCCCTCTGCATGCCACCTCAAGTTTTTAGCGTCTTTTGGTGTTGAGAACAGACGCTTAAACCTTGGATTAATGGGAAGATACCACAACACCTTAGCAGGAGGTCCCTTCGTACCAACATTGCAACTCATGCGCTTGTAGCGCGACT